TTATTTTAATGTTCAACTTAATTTTACTTTTATTTTTATTTTCCTTTCTTTTTGTCATTTTCGTCACGGTTTGAGATTTGAAGCCTCGAAAATCACGTAACGGAAGACTCAATGACTCTTCGTCTAGCGAAAACAGCCTGTTGGGCCAATCAACCTAGACCTCGGATACTAAGTTTAGTTCATAAATTTATTTCTTGGCTAAATCAAGCATATAACGTGCTCACAATCGTTCCACCCACCCTAGTCCTCTGTGATTCCTACCAGTATTTTTTCAATAAAAGTCGTGCTGGTTCTCGGACTTATCGAGCTCTAAAGCTCTTAAACTTTCTCGTAAAGGTCTAAAATGAATCCACATTATAAATAGAGAAGACTAAAAAAGTAAAATTTTCAAATATGGCGTCGCCCAGACTTGAACTGGAGACCTTCAGTGTGTTAGACTGACGTGATAACCAACTACACCACGACACCATTGAAGGCTTCCCCAGAAGGTCAGACAACTATAGAGTAAAGCCGAAACTTCCTGGAGCCTAGAGAAAAGCTCGCGGAAACCTACCAGGAACTCGATGCGATGAGAGCCTACAAGTAGGCTGCTTACTGAGTACTTTTTTACTCGCCGCCTTTTAGATTTCTTTTTCAGGTCTTCGCTAACTGTCGCTCGAGGTGGGGGAGCGTTTGAGAGCTGCATTGTCACTTGAGGGTCGTTTATGAGTGTCGACCTGGTCTCTGTACTTTGGGCCTTTCATATTTCGTTCGAAACAGTATCCCGAACCCTTTCTCCGTCTGTAACAAACCTTTCACAACACATGTTTGCATTGCTTTTCAATTTGTTTTGGTCGAGGTGCCGTTTCGATTTTAAATTGTATTATTTTAATGTTCAACTTAATTTTACTTTTATTTTTATTTTCCTTTCTTTTTGTCATTTTCGTCACGGTTTGAGATTTGAAGCCTCGAAAATCACGTAACGGAAGACTCAATGACTCTTCGTCTAGCGAAAACAGCCTGTTGGGCCAATCAACCTAGACCTCGGATACTAAGTTTAGTTCATAAATTTATTTCTTGGCTAAATCAAGCATATAACGTGCTCACAATCGTTCCACCCACCCTAGTCCTCTGTGATTCCTACCAGTATTTTTTCAATAAAAGTCCTAAAATGAATCCACATTATAAATAGAGGAGACTAAAAAAGTAAGCTCTAAAGCTCTTAAACTTTCTCGTAAAGGTCTGAAATGAATCCACATTATAAATAGAGAAGACTAAAAAAGTAAAATTTTCAAATATGGCGTCGCCCAGACTTGAACTGGAGACCTTCAGTGTGTTAGACTGACGTGATAACCAACTACACCACGACACCATTGAAGGCTTCCCCAGAAGGTCAGACAACTATAGAGTAAAGCCGAAACTTCCTGGAGCCTAGAGAAAAGCTCGCGGAAACCTACCAGAAACTCGATGCGATGAGAGCCTACAAGTAGGTTGCTTACTGAGTACTTTTTTACTCGCTGCCTTTTAGATTTCTTTTACTCGTTGCCTTACTCAATAAAATTTCACATGTCCGGAAAAAAAAAAGTTATGATTAGGACTCAGGTGTTGAAATAGACAGGACCTTAACCAAATGGGAAAGGGGACCAGAAGAGAGAATGCAATTTTTTTCAAACATTTTAGAAAATGAAAACGTGTCAAAAAATGAGTGATGGATATGAACAAGGAAGGAACATAATTGTGTTACATTATTGGTTTGTGATAGTTGAATTATGGTAGTAAGGTGTAAATATATTAGGTGGCCCACTATTTATTGCTTGCATTCAATGCACCGTTGTCATGTTGTGGAATTGAAGGCCTTGACCATCCAACCACATCAAATCTCTCGTTTTCATACGGATCTTATATCATAATCTTCTACATTACAGCTTATGATATTCAAACCATTTCTGGATTTGTCCTTTTCCCTTTCCCTTCGCTTTATCTGCAATTTCTTCATTAACTAACTCTTTCATTTTCCTCTTTCCTTCCTTAATTTCTACCTTCTAATAGCCATGGATTCTCAGAACACGCAGTTCTTGCAAAATTGCTATATACATCATAAAAATACAACATAAGAAAAGGGTCCATTTTGAATCATCCCTCAATCATCTTTATCATCATCTTCGTCGTAGTTGAAAGGCAACGGCACTGATTTGAACGCTCGGTATTTACCGACATTGTTCAAATGCTCGTTTTCAATTCTGTACCATCCATCATCCAAACATGTATAAATAAATATTGGATAAGACTAAGATTTTTCATTTCAGAGAAAATTATTTGGTATTAGTTTACCTGAAGAAGTTCCATATGCCACGACGAAGGATCTCTAAGCTAGCAACAATTGCAACCAAGCCTTCTCTGTGCAAGAAAGGGACTTTGAAGTTCAATACGGTTTGCATCCAAGCAAGTCTCAGCACCACATTCAATGCCTGCAATGTTTTCTCTCTTTAGGAATCGCCAAATAAAACACAACATGTTCTTCTATTCTCATTCGTTATAATATCACTCACCATTGCAACGAAGTATACGCTCTTCTGAGGGACGAGGAGCTTGTCCCTTAACCACCGGTTCTTCGAATTCCGTTGCAGAAGCCCCCAGTCGATCACGAGGTCCCAGTACGTGCCTGACACTGCTGCTATGACTGAAAATACCCAAGCTAGTACATACCAAATATATAAGTTTTTGTATAGACTGTATGCTGTCCTGAAGCAAACAGCAGCTATAGCAAACGAGTATTTCAATCCGTTTAGTGCGTGCATTTTATCTTTCTCTTCATACAGTCGACGAAGGCACTGCAAAAACACGAAAGGAAGACAACACATTAAGCTAAGGATGAATATGTTCCCATCAGTTCCCAGCGTACTTTCTACAATGTGGGAGTTCAGTTAAACATTGATAGCAAGATTGGAGTAGTACCTGCTGAAAGCGCGACACGTATGGAATAACGGCGACAATGAAACTGAACGTTTGGAATACGGCGCTAGCCTTGCACGTGTTTACTCTAATTCTGTAGTCTCCCCAACCATAATAGCAAATATAAAATTCCAAACTTCTGAGTGCTTGCACCTGGCTGGTTAGCTGGTCAGCTAAGAAAAAGTCTGGGAGCACCACCTGAAATAGAGAAAGTTGTTTGAGGAACAATATTGCAATAGCAACTTCAGAATCTTCGAGCTTATATACACGGTGGATGACATAATTTACCTTGTAGAGCGGAGCACAGATGCTGTGAAACAGACAAGTGAGGAAGAAGAGACGACTCGAGCGGTATATGATGTTAAACGGGCAGATAAGTATTGCAGTTACAAGCTGCAGAAGAAAAGGCAAGTTTGTTTAGCACTACTGCATATGCAAAATTGAAAGCATTTGGAGAAGTTTGGTGTGAAAATCTTACAACAACTGCCAACAGAGGGATAAGTTCAGTAAATGCTTTGAAATCTTTTGTTCTTGGGTCCATTTCCATGTCAAGGTTTGAGAGCACAGAGCCTAGTCCAAGTACTGCTAGAGCAAAAGCAATAAGGAGAACTTGACGATAGCCCAACTCATTTCCTTCCTTGAAACCAAATATGAAGGAATAATTCACTCGATATCGCCTCCAAAAGTATATGTCCGCAGCATACATAACCAAATGCAGAACAACAAATCCAAACAGGCTGCAAACAGATCAGAGTTCCCACGTCAAACCATTACGACAGAATATAGTTTATGCTGCAACTAAGTTATTACAGTTAGGAATCACGACTCTCTACAATGGTATGATATTGTCCACTTTCAGCATAAGCTCTCATGGCTTTGCTTTGGATTTCCCCAAAAGGCCTCGTACCAATGGAAATGTATTTCTTACTTGTAAACTCAGGATCATTCACTAAATTGGCCAATATGGGACTCCCTCCCAACGATCTTCAACAATTACCAACCAGTTATTTACACAGTGGTTTAAGCTATGAACAAGGATGACTGAGAATGTACGAGATGAAAATGAACATGAACAGGTCAACAACATGTGTAATATGACTGGAGAGTTGTGTAGTTACCTGTAAAGGGGAAACATGGTTTCCATGTACTTCGTGCTTCCTCGACTATCCATAATATTGCGGGCACGGATAATTAAGATGAGGGCTAAAACAAGAGCTGCAGAGCAACCAGCTAGAAAACCTGCAAATCATTTGAGTTCAAGTAAAAAGGGTTGTCCCTAAAATAATAATAAGCATAAATGGTACAACAAATCATGGTGAAAATCAGAGCATACCCATGGAAAATGTTGTCCTATGTCTCTCTCTCTTTGCTTTGGGTCTTAAAATATTCATTGCTTTGCTGCGATTGGCATTGCAAAAATGTTTGATGAATGTGTTCTCGACTCTCTCCATTAACTTGGCAACCTGCAGTGGCATTTAGTATATTAGAATTGAAGAAAGAACTTGCTTTACTGAGTAACTTCTTTAAGAAAGAAATGGTTTAACAAGCTATATCTCACATCATCTGAGCTTCCAAGGTAAGAACTGTCCACCGTTTTCATGTAGGCTTTTGAGGCATTTCTTGATGTAATCTGCAATCAAATTACAAAGGCATAATAAAGAAGTAAGGAGACATGCCCAATGCTACTTTTTTTCGGCTTTAATTCAACACGATCAATCAGATCGGAAATGAAATTACCTTGTCATATTTCTTCATGATCTTTGAGAATGCCAGTGTATTCAAGAAGCTGGGTAAATTCCATGAATGAGAAAAGATTTAGCAATTTGAGCATTGAAAAAGAGGAGAAAATAGGGGATAAGATGTACCTAAAGCTCTTCAGAAGTCTAAGTTTCTGGTAAAACACAGAGAAGGCATGCTTGAGTTGTTCTTCAACTTTATTTAAATTGTCTCTGCTGAATTGGAGTTCAGTGTTCTTAGAGATTTTAAGGAATCCCTTGATGGTTGAACGAGGTGTTTCAATGGGTTGATTTATTTTCACACGATCAAGAACTTCTAATGGAGGTGGTCTAACACCCTTCCTTTTGCTTGAGTTATCTTCTTCGACCTGTTTACCTCTTGATACCATGTTGATATCGTCCCCATCTTCATTTAATTCATCAGATTGTCCAAGCTCACCGGCCCCGCCTTCCTCAATTATCTCCATGGCCATGTGAGGTCTCTCTGCTCATCAAAACAAATGTTCATAAACACAGTTTCTAATTAGTACTGTTCTAACATACAACAACTCCATTAAAACCAAAACAAGCAACGAAACAACTTCTTTCTGCTTCATCAAACCATGAAAACAGATATCAACAAAAACCTAAACAAAAGATAAATCCAATCCACGGTAATCTAGTTGAAGCTAAAACAAGAGCAGAAATTCCTGATTATATATAAACATTCAAAACTCACTTCCAGATAAAGCGCCTTTGGGAGTGGAAACGGACAAGGCAGCGGAAGAAGCAGCAATTCCAGAAGCCAGACGAGTCATCTCAACAGTCTTCTCAGAAATATCGAAAACCAAACCCTGAGGGTTCTCGACTTTGATTCTGAAAGCAATCAACGCATCCATCTGCTTGTTCAACATCTCCGCTTCCTTCATGACCTCCTCGACCTTAGCCCTATAGAACTTATCGACTTTGTTAAACTCGTCATCGAGTCTCCTAAAGTAAACGAGTTCGTACTCAGCGCCATCATCGGCGGCCATGAGGAAGGTGGTCTTGTAATTCTGAGAGCCATCTTCGTGCAAAGAGTTAACGAGAATGGGTTGGCTCTCGATATCGGCATGGGAAGAAGGAGGGGAAGGATGAGCGTAACCTTGAGTGAGACCGCTGAAGGCTCTGTAGAGAGTGAGCTTGCGCTTCAAGGCAGAAGGCTGAGGGGGCTGAGGAGAGCCAGTTGTGAGCTTGAATCTCTGGATCTCTTTCAAAAGAGACTTAAGGAAATTGTAATCCATGTAGGCGTTGTGCCATTCCGGCACCATTTGCGCCGTGAATTCCTTGCCGAACTTCATTGGGGGATCCAAACGCAGAGGGAAATTGGGAGGATGAGGAGGAAGATGACAAGGAAAGGTATATATATAGTGGTGGAGGAGTAGAGAGCATTTCAAAGGCTTGAGCTGTGGCGTGCGGCCATGGAAGGTTCTGAGCAAAACCCAAGCAGACGCGCTATGGCGTATTACACAGATGCACGAAGAGAGAATGTATTGGTGGAAGCGGCTACTGTGTATATCTGTGGTTTGAGAGAGATAATTGCTGTTCTTTCCTGTTTTTTCAACACAGGAGAAACATTTGTTGATTTTATTAAATTATAAGCTTTTATTTTCTAATTGTTTTAAATTAAGAACAGCCTTGACTTTTTCCAAAACAAAATAGTCTCATTTTTTTAGATTATTATTATTATTATTATTATTATTATTATTATTATTTAACCAATTTACAAACAAAATCTTTCTCCTTCACCAATTTGCCTTTAAATTACATTAGTTTTTTCATTTGTTTTTCTACTACACTTCCATGTGGCTGAAAGTTTGTGTAGTGGGTTTATTGAGGATGCTCATAAATGATGGTGTCGTAGTTTGTAAGCCTACTCTTCACAGTGATCAACAATACTTGTAAGCTCCTATCGACCATGACATATGCATATTTTGGCACAAATCCCAACCCAAATTCACCCATAAGCCATTTTCGATGAACCAATCTAGAACGACATATTCTAATATGGTAAGGCGGATTAGGAAGGCAGCGACGAATTTGACCCGAGACAAGACGGAAAAGGTAGCGGGTGGCAGGTAGGAGTTAGGTTGTGGCTTTTGCTGTCAAAATAAAAAGAAAAGTAAAGTATTTAATAAAAATAAATAAATAAAAAAACAAAAAGAAAAGGTTGGGTGAAAATCATTGGAATTATCCACGTTGAAGGAAGTAGTCACATTTTGACTGAAACGAACCCTGGAATATCACCAAGTCCAACACTAATTATAATATATATATATATATAGATAATACTCAAATGGTCATTTCCTCCACGTTTCCTCCTTCTCCAAATAATATATACATATATATACTTTTTCTTTTTTCTGTCTGGGTAATTTTAATTGGATTAGGTGACAGCTATGTAAAGCAAAAGTCGACTTGTCGTTTTCCTTTTTTAATTTTTAATGAAGCTAGTGAAGTATGATCCAGCTATGTTCCAAAATTTTCATAGTCTACTCGCTCTTTCATGCCATCATCGTTAATCAGTACTCAAGTTTCACTATACTCACTAAAACTCGCTTAAACTTAAACATTTTTCTTATACAACGTCATCGTATAAATCTTAGACTTAACTATTAAATTGTTGTTAAGGATAATTTAGATTCTTAATTGTAGGTTGTATGGCTCATTCTACTTATCTACCTAGTTACCGCAAAGGTAAACTTCTAACTCTTGACTATACTTTACGTAGTAACTAAATCATGTAACCACATGGATGTTAGGTAGGAGCACGTATTTGACATAGCTAGATCACAAAGTCTCTCGTCCTTCCGTTGCCTAAATTATTATATAAGTTTGGTCGTGATGGAGCTTAGTGTCATTTTAAGCTCCCATCATAGTCATAATTGCTTTATTTGCTCTCTTAGTTCTGTTTTCAAGAGATACCTCTTGTGCCTAATTGTTGTATGATTATGTCACGTGTGTTTTAGAATTCTAGTTTTTGAAGCTCTTAATTAACGATAGTCTAACCACGGCATCTTCATATTCATTTACTTTCATTAATTGGCTCTTGAGAGTATGATCAACATCGAACTTCTGTGTAACAATTCAATAAATAAAATCGATGATCACTAGAAAGGCCGATAATTCTAGTGAGGCACCGAAAATCTCGGCAACGAATCTCAACCAACCACCACGACACGTGCCAAACACTCCCCACGCAGCAGCAACTTCCCAAAGTCACCTGCAGGTTGAGAGAAAGAACGATAGGCAGAGAACCAAACTAGTAAGCCTCAGCCTAGTAGCGGCAAAACCACGAACTAGTAGCCTCAGCCTAGTAGCCGCAAACCAAGCCCCGAAGTCCACCTGCAATGCTTGACCCACCTGCAACATCGGTCACTCGACCCATTGCAATTATTCGGCCCAGTACCTTCAGCCACAACCTGCGCACCGCAGGAACAACGTGAGAGAGTGACCCGAACACTCTGCGCCTCAACTCGGTTCACGACCACACATGTCGCGCAAGTAGACGCCGAATCCTTCGGCTCAGTCAGCACAACACGGCTCGAATCCGCTCAAAACTCGGTCATTCAGCTTAGTATAGATATTTTGATACAGATTTTTACATTTTTGACCCTCCTAGAGCTAAATTCGACCTTATCTAAGGTGATTAAGGTTAGTATAAAGTTCATTTTCTCAATTTAATTTAAATTAAGCTAAGAAATTAATATTACTAACCAAGCGAGATGGACGTTCCAATAAAAAATAACACTTGACGATATTGGGAACAACTTAGAGGGACGAAATACAAATGTACTCGAGTTGAGGGAGAATGTCAGCTAAGGCCAACCAAGTAACTATCGATATGATTAAGAATCAATGTTTGTATGATGACACGTGCCTCGTGGTTTTGCATGTGTCATCTGCTTGATATGTGTAAAATATTTATGAAACAATTTGACTAAGATATGTTTACGAAACGATATGATTAAGATATGTTCATGAAACGACATGACTAGAATATGTTTATGAAACGATATGATTAAGATACATTTAGGAAATGACATGACTGGAATATGTTTATGAACGATATGACCAGGATACGTTTATGAAATGACATGACTAGAATATGTTTATGAAACGATATAACTTTGATGTGTTTATTTCAATATGACCAGAATACATTTATGAAACAATATGACCAGAATACATTTATGAAACGTCATGACTATGATAAGTTTATGAAACGATATGATTGTGACATGTTTGTAAAACAATATAACCAGGATACGCCTATGAAACAACATGACTAGGATATGTTTATGAAACGATATAACTGTGACGTATTTATGAAATGATATGATCAGGATACGTTTATGAAACGACATAACTAGAATATATTTATGAAACGATATGACTGTGACGTGTTTATGAAACGGTATAACTATGATATGTTTATGAAATGATTTGACTATGATATGTTGATGAAATGGATGACTACGAACCGCTTTTTTATTTTTATATATATATATATATATATAATAAATGGAACTTCATGGCATTTTTGTAATTTTCAAATTTTCAAATTTTCAAATATTTTATTCCAAAAATCAAAATCTCGCTAGGCATTGAAATTACTTAAACCCTTTTATCCTTGCTTTTGTCTCTTAAATTCTTTCTTTGGGTTCTTTAAATCTTACTTCAGTTCTTGAAACTTACTTGAGTTACCTAAATGGGGTATTACAAATAAAGATGTTTCTCTTTAATTTGTTGACAGCCTTGACCTTATTAAGTTGGTCAAGAAAGTTTCAAAAGACTCCTCTCGTAAACGGATAAGTCATTCATGAATATTTTTAGAATTTCTCCCATCATACCCACCTTCGACTCATCGACTATCATAGTGATTTTCCTTTCTTGGACTGACCTAGCTGGTGTCCGCAATTGGGTATAAGATTCTTGCGTCTAACCATGTCATAATCTCATTTCTAATATGATATGAACCACGACCAAGGAATTTTCATACCTCAAGGTCCAATTACAAGGACGAGAGCTAAGAAGCTATAACAAACCTTATACAGTTATATTCAAGCTATGGTGAGCTCATCAAAGGAAATTCTAGAAGACGTTGGAGACCTCCATTATATGTTATGCAAAGTTGAGCTTCAAGAAATAGATAAATTAAATGCACTTTAAATTGCATTTAATGAACTTCGCTTAATTTATGAAACTAGTCTAAGGATGACTAATAAACACATTTTATTAATTACATTATTTAATTATAGTTTAACTATTTGTTTGTCATATTTAAGCTAGTTTTAAATATAGAAGTTAAGGTTACCCACATAAGTTACTATATTCCACCATTAACTAGTCATTTTAACAGTTATGGGTATTTCTCATTTACTAGCTCATTTAATTTGGGAGTTATGTATAACCTATGTTAAGGTTGTAAAGGCTATATAAATGCTTCTTTTCTTTGATTAGACATGAGATTTTGGAATTAAGAATAGAATTTCTATTTTAGTTTTGTTGAGAGCTAAACTTTCTTTGCAAATTCTTGTGTTCAGAACTTGCATGCTAGAGTTATTCAAGTGGTATTGATCAAACCTCTTGTGAAGGGATTCGAATCACGAGTTTAGAAACGAGTTTTCTTTACTCTTGATCTTGATCATCAAGGTAATCCGTTCCATACTTTCCCTTGGGTTGATTTCCATATCATTTGGTATCAGAGCTTCAGGCTCAAGATCGAATATATGTTTCATTGCGCTTCTCTTTTAATTCTCTTATAATTTTTTTTTCTCAGTTTGTGCAGAATGTTCATATTTTATCACACAAATATATAACAAATATATATATATATATATATTTCTTATGTTCTTTAAAGTGTTAGATCTGGATCTTATCAATACTTTGTTCTTCTAAATCAATTTTATTATTGGTAAATGGATTAGATTTTGCCAATCAGAAAAGAAAAAAAAAAAAAAAACCATTGAAAGAAAGAAAGCTTATTGATGTTAAATGTTTTCTTTTTTCCTCTCGATTATTATATGTAACTCTCATATGTTACTATGTCTAAATTAGTCCTTAATCATTTTCTTTCTTTAATTCGTTTCTTTGTCGTTATTCGGATTTCTCCTTTAATACCCTTGTTTATGTGTTGAGTGTGCTGTCTATTCACTTTGAATTGTAATTAGCTCTATAACATAACTTGTCTCACATACCAATTTGTTTTTTTGGAGTGTGATTTGTGTGTGCTCAATTCTGAGGGTGAGTTTGTAAGCGAGTGACACATTGATTCGAGTGTTGAGTGCTAAACACGAGTGAACTACATTTACGAGTGAAGACACGTGAGGGAGCGCTTGTGAGGTCCTTTATTTTCTTTTACCTTTCTTTTGTAGCATGGAAAATCCAAACGACAATACTGACATTACTGATGCACGATTGAGAGAAGCACACAACGAACCATGGAAAGACTAATTCAAGGAATAGAAGAGTTGACTGATCGAATAGGAAGATTAGAGATTCAAAATCAAGCTCGACAAAGGATTCCACTACCTATGCCCTCAACCGATACATA